AGATCTTCCATAGTCCAAGTCCTGGCAACGGAATGATTTCCTTCTTCTCCTTGTCTATTGGTCTCGGCATTAGTTTACCAGGCTGTCCCAGCAAGGCACCACAGACCGGATGGTTTGATGACAACTTAGCTTCTCATAGTTCTGAAGATCAGAAGTTGAAGATCAAGGTGTCCCTGGGGCTGGTTTCTGCTTGGGGCTCTGACTTTTGCCTGTAAATCTTTGTGTTCAGATGGTTTACTTCCTCTACCTATGTCTGTGTCCAAATCCCCTCTTAGAGATGTGCCAGCTCCACTGGATTAGGGACCTACTGACCTCACTTCCATTTCATTACATCTTTAGAAACTCTAGCCCCAAACACGGTCACATTCTGAGGTCCTGGTGATTGGTATTTCCTCATATTGGTTTTGAAGGACTCAGTTCAGCCATGAAAGCCTCCCACTAGACTGCGAGTTCCTCCCAAAACAGGAACCACAGCTTAGTTCCTGCTTGATATACACCATGCCTAGCTGTACCAGGAACACAAAAGATTCCAAGCCAACAATTTTTGGCATGAGGAGAGGACCTTCCTTTTCAGAAATACAGTGCAAATCTGTAGGCTGCAGCCCTCTCAAAATCCAGCAGCCAGCACCAAGAAAAACAATTTTATTCTTTCCCTGATGGATGGTGTGATACTGTCATTGTCTTTAGCTAGTCCACTGACAAAAGCTATGTACATGGCACCCGATTCATAGCAGAAAAATAACATCCTTAAGGACAAGCATCCAAAGCCATTGACCATACCCTTTTCCCAGGAGGCTAGTCAATCACGCAGCCTGCCTTCCCCCACTATCAAGGTGAGCACATGCCCTAATCAATTCTCCCCTCTCTCCTCAGAATCCAAATCCTGGGTGGTATAACATAAAGGCAGAAAGTAACGTCCTCTAAGTCAGTGCCACCAGAGTCTCCAGGTATGCACAATCCTGAGGCTTCCAACCTTCCCAAGGCTTGATCAACTCTTCCTTATTTGAAATTTATGTTGTAGTCTTGCTACAAATGCCTTGTCCTTAAATTAGACAGTGTTTATTCTATACATGAAAAAGAATCTTGGCACAAATACTAGCCCCTGGAAGTGGGGTGTGAAAGTGGTGGACCGAAAACAGGGAAATGGAAGCAGGAAGTAAGGACAGTAAGGGGACCCCCCCCCAACGCCCACTGCAGAGTTGATCTCACATTCCTTGATAGGCCATTGCAAAGCGATGTGCACTCGTGTTTTGAGATATAATCCACATGCATGCCTCCCCTGGCTATATCTTTAGGAAAGTTGGTAGAAACGTCAAAATGCTGGGGGAGGGGGGTGGCCACTTCTGACAGCATTGGGGAAGATCCCAACAACGACTTGGCTTCAGCTGAGGGACTGCATGAATAGAAAACGTCACCTCACTTACTCCGCCCCTTTCTCCTGATAGAACCCACAATGACAGAAAGCCAGAAAATCACGAAGAACTATGAAATTTGAACTTATAGCCAGGCATGGTGATGTGCACCTATGATCCCAGAACTTGGGGAGCTGAGGCAGGAGGGTCATAAGTTAAAGACGACCAGCCTGGGCAACATAGCAAAAGCCTATCTCAACAATGAGAGAGAGAGAGAGAGAGAGAGAGAGAGAGAGAGAGAGAGAGAGAGAGGAGAGAGATTTGAGTTCTTGGCCCTGAGTCAATGATAGTTCTAGAAAAATAAATAAATAAGGAAACACAATAAAAGAAAAGGCTGGGACCAGGAGAACTGGGGGAAGCCTGAGCCCTTGTGTACCTGCCTCCTTGGCAAAGAGCAAAGCTCTTGGAAGAAGCCAGACAAAGAACAAACTATCTTTATCCCAAAACAGCGCAAAGCAACGAAAATCCAGGGCCAGAAGACGGGAGAGCTGCAAGGCTTACTTCTGAGAGAGAAATCCCCAGTCTGGAGTCGCAGTAAAGGATCAGCCCATAGAAGGGAACAAATACGCAGAGACCAGCAGCTTCTAAAGTATGCATCTCTCAACTCTCACCAGTGGAACCTCCTCATGCAACAGACGGCAATGAAAACAGAAGGCCACAACTGGCCAAAATGTAGAGGATAAGAGACTGCAGAGTGCATGTCCCTGGGTAGGACTCATATTAAACCTCACCCACCCAGGGCTCAGGGACCATTGTGGAAAAGGGGGGAGAGAGATTGTAAGAGTCAGGGGAGGAGGTGCAGGACCATAAGGAAACCGAGCCCTCCAGGCTTCTGGGAGCTTGCTCATATGAACTTACAGCAACGGTAATACCATGCACAAGACCCATGCACATTCATCAGACAAGCACCCAGCATAGAGCTGGGGAAATGGGCAGGGGGCCCAACCTTAGCTGAGGAACTGTTGGTAACTGATCACTGCTGGGGGAGGGAGAGTCGCTTTTCTTTAAGGAGTGACGCTAGATAGGCTGACCAAGCTCCAGTGGACGAACTCACAATGAGGGACACCTAGGTGCACAAACTTGACTTGATAGGCCTTAACATATATGACAAGGCCCCAACCTTAGCTGAGGAACTGGTAACTGAACACTGCTGGGGGAGGGAGAGTCGCTTTTCTTTAAGGGGTGATGCTAGATAGGCTGACCAAGCTCCAGTGGACGAACTCACAATCAGGGACACCTAGGTGCACAAACTTGACTTGATAGGCCTTAACATATATGACACAATGCAAGAAATCATGTGGACTATGGGGGGGGGCACATATATAGGGGAGGGGAGGCCTAAATATGATTAAGATCTATAAAATGTACAAAAATTCAATGAAAGTATACATTGAAAAAAAAGTAAAAACTAATCACTGCTCCAAAATCAACCTCTGAATAGCCTAAACTACATACCAACAGAATGGGTCTGTTGAAACAACATATCCCTAGTAGAAAAATCCTACCCAGGTGCTTTTTCAATGTGTCCACAGAACCCATGAAGCAACAGAGAACAGACTCAACAGCACTAGGCATGTAAGTAAAGTGTATTTATTACATATGTCTCTGGTACTGAAGGAGAAAAAGAGCATACTCACAGAACAACAGCAGCTAAATACACCGACTTCGGTAACACTCAGAACTATCAGCAACCCAAATGAAGGGTCTGAGCAGCCTCCCACACAGACACAGGGACTCAAGGGTCTAGATGTATATAGCCACTGGGTGTGGTGGTGCATGCCTGTAATCCCAGCCCTTGGGAGGTGAAGGAGGGAGGATTGGGAGTTCAAGGTCATCTTCCAATACATAGTAAGTTCAAGGCCAGCCTGCCTACATGAGACCTTGTTTCAAAAAATAAAAGTGAAAATGCATTCAGCAGGAAGAAATAGAGATTAACTCTGTGAGACAGGTTGTGTATTGGAGATAACATGGAGGAAGAAATTATATTTCTTTTTTAAAATATTTCATTTATTATTTTTATTTTATGTGTATAAGTGTATTGCCTGCATGTACGCAAGTGCACCCGTGTTGTGTAATGCCCACAGAGGTCAGAGGAGGGTGTTGGATACCCTGAAACTGGAGTTGTGAAGAGTTGTCAGTCGCTATGTGCTGGGAATTGAACCCATTTCCCGTACACGAGTAGCCAGTGCTCTTAACTGCTGAGCCATCTCTCCAGCCCCGAAATTATACTTCTTGAGTTTTACAGAGAATACCTTTGATTTATGAAGAGTCTAAATCAAGTAAGAATATCTATCTGAAATTACCGCCCCCAGCAGTGTAAGGACCATGCTCTCTGGGGAGGCTGTGTGAAAAGGAACTGCTGCAGAGGGGTCTGAGCACTGTGTGCCTTCCTCAGGGAGAAGGAGAGCAAAGATGCTGAGCACCAGGCATGGTTCCTTCCACAGCAACACTGGCAGAAGCATCCTTCGCTCACACCTCTATCTCCAGCATGCAACATAAGCTCCACCATAATTCCATTAACTGGCAAATAATCACATGGACGCAGAGAAAACGTCCTAATTTCACAGCTGTAGCTATAATCTGTCACTCACTGGCAGAAAGAGAGGAGAATGGAATTTCCTCACAATTTTCATTAAATGCTTTGAGAGAACAGCATTAGAGACAAATTAGAAGGAACATCTGAGTTGTGTGAACAGCCTCAGGAACAGAGGGTGGGTGGGGGGTCAAGGATGAGTAAGAGCAAGCCCAGACGACTCTGCTGAGGCTATTTTAACACTGATGAACATGAAGCCTTCATCTGGCTTATTAAAATAGTGCTAGGTATCAAGAGAAGCTGGCACATTCTTGGGCTGATGAGATGGCCCTGGAGGTTTGAACAACAGTTGGAATATAGCTACTGTGGCTAAAACCAGCCAAGTACAGATGTCGACCAAAGAAGGAGTCGTTTCCTACCATCCTGTGCTGCCAAACTAAATGCCAAGGGAGGGAAGGTTTAGGAAGCCTTTGCAATGGAATGGGTAACTGTTAAATTCTAACTCTGCATGTAGCTAAAATCTTTGCTGCTAGGGTCCATGGAGAACAATCATTATGGTTTAAAAGCTCAATCAGAAATCTTCCTGCTCAGCAAAATGAAAACAATACAACAGAGATTGAAGCAGCCTCTCCTCCAGTTCCAGGCCTAGACACAGACTGTGGAGCTCCAAGTTTTCTTTCCTTCCTCCTTCAACAGTTGCTTTACTTATGAATAATGTTATCTATAATTTTAGTGTTAACCGAGAGTAGATTAGATGGTTGTCCCTAAAGCAACTGCCCCACATGATAGTACTTCTTCCTCTTAGAAAGATAAACAAGGAGAGGACAAGTCACTCTGTCTCTTTCTCTGTCTGTCTCTGTCTGTCTCTCTCTCTCTGTCTCTCTCTCTGTCTCTCTCTGTCTCTCTCTCTTGTCTCTGTCTCTGTCTGTCTCTCTCTCTCTCTGTCTCTGTGTGTGTGTGTCTCTCTCTCTCTCTCTCTCTCTCTCTCTCTCTCTCTCTCACACACACACACACACACACACACACAGGCATGTACACACACACAATCAACTTACCAAATGCCTTTTTGGGTTCTATTAACTTCAAGGTAAAGAGTTCCTCTTTTTTTAATTCCTTTAACTTCTTAGCGACTTCATAGTGACGCCACCCAACAATATTTTCTCCATTTATGGATTCAATGTGATCCCCCACACAGATCGTTTTAACTGAGTCAATGATACTGCCATCTTTAATTCTCTGAAAGAAAGAAAATCAATGATCGAACAAAATGGAACTGAGTAGCGGCACTTTTCATGTTCTTGAGATACATCATGTGGACATATTTGCAACATAGTTTAATGCTTGGTTAAAAACAGAGGACTGCCGGGCGTGGTGGCGCACGCCTTTAATCCCAGCACTCGGGAGGCAGAGGCAGGCGGATCTCTGTGAGTTCAAGGCCAGCCTGGTCTACATAGTGAGGCTACAGGGGGACCCTTTTTCAGAAAAACCAAAAAAAAAAAAAAAAACAGAGGACCAACTAATGAAAAGCAATCATCTTACCTTTATCCTTTCTTCATCGGACCATTCAGAACTATGTTCCCTCAGAGCCACTGTCTCCTCTGGAAAGCTTTTCCTGAAACCCTCCCACCCAATCCCTAAGAAGAGGGGACAGGCCACTCATCTGTAGTGCTTTCTATATACACAGAGCCCAAAGAGAAGCATCTGTACACCTGCTACTTCAAGTGATTCTAATAACCTTTATGAGAGTCTGTCATAACTCAGGAAGCCTTGGGAAGAGCAAGTGGCCTGCCAGGTTCATCATACCACAGTGCAGTTGTCAACCTCCTGTTGTCTGTCACCACCATCTGTTTTCTAGTAGGAAAGTTATGTCTCTGGGGACAGAGACAACTTTATTCACTATTGTATGCCCTATGCCTAGCATGATTCGTGCACAGTGATAAATGATTTAAGATTTATTTTTCTTTGTATTTGTGTGTATGTGTGTGTCTATGTAAATACATACAGTGTATGTAGGTTCCTGCAGAGGCCAGAATACGGCCAAATCCTCTGGAGACGGAGTCACAGGCATTTGTGAGCCTCCCTGTGTGAGTGCTCGGTACTGAACTTGGGTCCTTTAGAAGGGCAGCAAGCACTCTTACCTACTGAGCCATCCCTCCAGCCCCCAATAATTATATGAAATTTATTTTTTATTTATTTTTTTCTTTTTGGTCTTTTGGAGACAGTGTCTCCTTGTAGGCCCAGTTGGCCAGGACTCACTATGTAGACCAGGCTGGCCTTGATCTCATAGTGATCCACCTGCCTTTGCCTCCAAAGTGCTGGGATTATAGGTATGAGTCACCATACCCAGCCTAGATAACCATTCTTAAGCCACTAAAGAACTTTAAAATCTGTATTTAACTTTGACTTTATCTTTTTATTCTAATTGGTCTCAAGATATATCTTAAGCCTGTTTTTTTTTCCTATGATCAATTATACCAAACCAATTTCAGTGTCCTATTACATATCTTTAAAGATTTTTTATAATTTTATTTAAAATAAGAACTATATAAAATTAATCAAGTAAAAGACTTAGAAGTGATGCATGACTCTTACCAGTGAGTTAAAAGTCAGAGTTAACAGTGAGATACTGTCACCCAAGCCTTGGGGCCAGAAAGGTCGCCAGACAACACCCAGAAGGAGAAAGGCAGATACCAGAAGTCTAAGCAGGGAGCAGGGAGGGAATCCACGCAGTCACAGTCGTTGGAGTCAAAGCATGCATAAGCAACAGACACAGAGCTGGGACAAAGAGGGAGAGCAGGGAGCAGGGAGGGAATCCACGCAGTCATTGGAGTCAAAGCATGCATAAGCAACAGACACAGAGCTGGGACAAAGAGGGAAAAATCGGGGTGGAACTTGGAGAAGAGCACAGTGAATCAGATGTGGAGCACAGCAGTCATGCTGATTCTTTATCCCATGGGCTATCTGAGTCTTCCCCTCCCAGGCGGGTGGCAGGGGCTAGGGAGATAGCTCAGCCAGTGAAGTGCTTGCCATGCAAGCAAAAGAATGTGAAAAGCCAGGTGTGGGGCATGTGTGCAAGCCATGTGCGGTAAGGCTTGTAATCCCACCTTTGCAGGGCCAGAGGCAAGACAGTCCCTGGGGCTCACTGGCCAACTAGCCTAGCGGAACTGGGGATTCCCAGATCCTAGTGAGACACCCTGTCTCAAAAGACACACACGTAAATAATAAGTTTGTTTTTAAAAGGTGGTAATGAAGACAAGCTTCTGGATACAATGTACTTTTCCAAGCCCACATTAACTGAACAGAGATTAGCAATACTTCTTAGAGTACTATCAGGTCCAAAGGCCCAGGAGGAAGGACAGACATTATTGCTGTACTTACACTTACTCAGTCACTTACATTATTCTCTATTCCATTAAAAACTTTCTCTTGAGTCGGGAATGGTGGTGCACACCGTTAATCCCAGCAGAGGCAGAGGCAGAGGCAGGTGGATCTCTATGAAATCAAGGCCAGCCTAGTCTACATAGTGAATTCCGGGTCAGCTGGAGCTACAGGGAGAGTCTGTCTCAAAAAAAAAAAAAAAAACTTTCTCTCACCTGGCCTTGAATATCCTTGAATATTAGTGCCGCAGAAGGTACAGAAGACTTATTGAAAAGTTTTTTGGAAGATAAGATCCACATTATTAAACATAAAGGTTCCCTGGGCCAGACAGATGACTCCGTGGGTAAAAAGACTTGTTTCAGAAACCTGACAACCTGAGTTCAATCCCTGGAACCTCCAGTGGAAGGAAAGAAATGATCCCCCAGAGTTGTCCACTGATCACCATATGTGTACCATGGACTGCATGTGTGTGAGCACACACATACACAATAATTTTTTAAGAAAATGATTTAAATAAAGGTTTCTAAACACTTTAGAACAGTATGAGTGTATGCACACATGTGTGCAGGTGTGCACATATCAAAAAGACATAAGAAGCCAGGTGTGGTGGTGCACACCTTTAATCCGAGCACTAAGGAGGCAGAGGCAGGTAGATCTCTATGAGATCAAAGCCAGACTGGTTTACACAGTGAGTCCCAGGCCAGCTGCTATGGGAGACCTGTCTCAAAAAAACAAAACTAAACTAAACTAAACACCACAGAGCCAGCTTAGAGGCATCACAGGCTAAATCATGGAAAACTTGAGCTCAAAATAAATGATAAATATAGTAATAATGCATTGAGTTAAAATGAAGAAATGATGGCTGAGCATGGCAGCACTCAGCACGGCAGGACACACCTGTAATCCCAGCACTCAGTATGGCAGGACACACCTGTAATCCCAGCACTCAGTATGGCAGGACACACCTGTAATCCCAGCACTCAGCACGGCAGGACACACCTGTAATCCCAGCACTCAGCATGGCAGGACACACCTGTAATCCCAGCACTCAGCATGCCAATACATGCCTGTAATCCCAGATCAGGAGGCTGAGGCAGGATGATCAGCAAATTTGAGATTGGCCTGGGCTGCAGTGTGACATTATCAGGAGGAGGGGACAACAAGGGGAGGGGAGGGGAAGACAGAAACTGACCCTTTCTGACAATAACTAAACAAGTAAGTCAAGAGTGATTGGCCAGGGTGTGTGTGTGTGTGTGTGTGTGTGTGTGTGTGTGTGTGATGCTGAAGACTGTACCTCTTACAAGAATGTTTTTCCTTAGATTCATTTATTTTATGAGTATGAGTGTTTTGCCTGCATTGTGTGTATGTGTGTCACATGTGTGTAGGTGACTGTGAAAGCCAGAAGAGGGTGTCCGATTCCTCTGGAACTGGACTTCCAGGCACTCGTGACCTGCTATGTGGGTGCTGGGAATGAAACCCAAGCCCTCTGCAAGACCTTTGCAAGAAAAGCAACTGCTCTTGACAACTAAGCCATCTCTCCAGGCCCTAAGAATGCTTTTTTAAAAAAACAATAAAATGCTTTCTAAGAAATGCAGAATAATCTTACCAAAAATTATCATTCTGTCACCATTAGAGGGGACGTCGATTCGTGTAAGACACATCAACAACTGCCAGTTCTCCCGAACGTGAGAAACATGACAGGGTATTTTCAGAATCTCAAAGTATCTCCACATAAACATCTATTAATTACAAAAGAAATACAATGACTTTGCAGTGAAAAAGGCTGTCTGGCAAAAATCAGACTAGTGATAAAAATTAATATCACAAATAATGAGACAAATCCCATGTCTAGTCAGATATGGAGTCAAGAGCACTTGAGTAATTTTCCTGCCCAAAATACATAACCTGTCTTTCAACATGAGGAAATATCAGAAAATAATAAATTAAGGACCATCCTACAAAAAGCTAAGGAAGTATTCTAGATTTTGAATAGGGTCAGTACAACTAACAGAGAGCATGGCCTGGACCTCATTAAGACATCTCAGACAACTACAGAGTGGACTAGAGATGAGCTGTTTGTTTTGATTTTTTGTTGTGAGCAAGGTGTCACGTATGCCAGGCTGGTCTCAAACACTCTGTGAAGTCAAGGATGACCTTGAACTCTGATCCTCCTGCCTTCATGGTCCAAATGCTAGGGTTACAGTCATTTACCGCTATATCCAGTGTTAAGCACTTCTGGGGATGGAACCTAGGGCTTCGTGCCTGCAAGGCAAGTACTCTACCAACTAAGCTACGTCCCCAGCTGTAGAGATGACTTTTATAGATAATTAAATCAATGTTGGCTTTTTCTCAATTTCATAATTATACTATGGTTATATATAATTTAGAGACTACCTTTGTTCTTCATAATCATACTCTGAGGCATTTAGAAATTAAATTGATGAATACAGATCAATATAGATACAGATGGAGATGTTGGCTCCACTTTCCCCTTTTCTACCATGCCCTGTATCCCCAAAGGACTAGTGACTAGTACTGAGACAGGCACATGTTTGACAAGGCATTTTTTTTAAAAAAATAGAAACAGCAGCTCTGAACGTCAGTGGCTCATATCTAAAGCATCCACACGTTTGTGAAGTGTCCAAGCCCTTCTCTGCGGGCATCAGATGGGCACTGCCGTGTGTGCCTGGTGTCCTAAGCTTCCCCTGGATTATCCCACATGACTTTCCCAACTCACAGGTTTTCCATTTGGTCATCCACTCAAACTTCAGGGCAGTCCTATCTTTTGCAGAGCTAAAAATAGTCCTTCTACCAAGCAGTTAGAGTGGCACGTACAGCTACCTTCCCTAGGACTGCCTCTTTACAATGATGATGCATGACCAGGACCAGGACAAAAGAAGGGCATTCAATGTGGTGGTGTTGCAGGAAGCCTATCACTTTTGCTCAGTGCATAGAAATGGTGAAGTCAAATCCTGAATCCTGAACCTGCCCAACTGCGTGACTTTAGCCAAGCTACTTAGCCTTCCTGATCCCTTCTCTCCATGGTAAGGTAGGGGTTACTAATACTGCCTGCCATGGAGTGGTTGCAGAGACGTCACACGGAAGAAGCCAGAGGGAGTAGAGTACATAGAGTATGATTATATAAACTTCAAGAAGCAAGCAGTGGGGGCTGGAGAGATGGCTAAGCAGTTAAGAGTACTGGCTGCTCTTGTAGAGGATCTGGGTTCAGTTCCCAGAACCCACATGGCAGCTAACAACTGTTCCAACTCCAATTCCAGGGAATCTGATGCCCTCTTCTGACCTCTGCAGGCATTGTACAACCCAGTGCACTTACACACATGCAGGCAATACACTCATACACATAAAATAAAAATAATAAAATATTTGTAGAAAAGAAGCAAGCAGTGGCAGATGCCAAAATGGAGGTCATTTGGAGTAGTGGGGACCAACTGGCAGAGTGCAGGAGGGGCTTCTGAGTGGGAGAGGTGCAATTTTCACAGATCTGGTGGTAGTTACACAGGCATTAGTAGGTGAACATTCATTAAACTATACATTTTAAAAAGGGCTCTACTACAACATAAAAGCAAATTTTAAAAAGACATAATGCCGCCGGGCGTGGTGGTGCACGCCTTTGATCCCAGCACTTGGGAGGCAGAGGTAGGC